CTATAAGGAATTCTCCGAGATACCTTTTAAGTCCGTAAAAGCTATTCTAAGTGGCATACCCATAGAGGGCGTAACCTGAAGCTCGGAAGCTTGACCGTTCATGCCAAAATGAATTGAATTGCGCCCCGTATGAGTAGGACATTCATACACATGCCTTACACCTTGTCGGCAGTTGAGCGATCGACAGCGCATGGCTGCACAAGTTCGCTGAACAAGTGTGCATTTCTTTCTTAAAAACGTCCGAACATGACCCGAAAATTTCCGATTGCGAGCGATAAAAATCACTGGATAACACACCGACCTAAAACTCATAGCCACCTTGGCAATGATATGAACCGCTGGAGAGTAGTACGACCCGGAACTGCCTTCTCTCAAAATATACAATACAAGGCTTGGTATGAGACATAGGAAGTACACGGTTGTTATCATGATCGTTGTGAACGAAGACTTTGAGTAAGCATCGACGGGATTTCTCGGATACTCCAGTACATGGACGCGAACTCGTTTATTGAGAGCAGTTCGAAGAATTTGTCCAGAAGCGTAGAATATCACAACGCACGGTATCATGAAGGACAGTATCCAAAGTACAATGCGAAAGGATATAACGGGCACGTTGTTATGCTCTCGTAGAGTGAGGTATTTCTCGCAATTTCCTAGCACCCAGGCGATGAATCTCTTTCCGGGCTTGTTAATAAGAATCAAATCCCAGGGAATTGCGGATACCACAGCTTGGCTCCAAATAACAACCACGACACGCCTCACTAAGTTCTTCGTAAACTTATGATGGCTTTTTCTCACCACAGCGAAGTAGCGGTCCACGGCAATGGCTGTCAAACTGAGAACAGAGACGAAGAACAAAAACATGTTGATAGTGCCGGCGAGGATGCAGAGGTTTCCTTCCAGAACCTCAAGTCGGATTAGACTCGATCCGTACACAAGAATGCCATTGACAGAAAACAAAAACTCAGCGGATATGTGGCTTATAACCAACATATTGGTTGGTGTTTGCATGCGATGATCCCGACAATAAGCCACCATGAGAATTCCGTTGCCAACCATTCCCAGCGCAAAGAGTATAACTACAGTTATTCCCTGACTGAGAATGGCAGATTTATCGTTCGCAAATTCAGTATCGAAAACCATTCCTCCTATTCAACTTCTTCGTATATCTTAATTAACTGAGATAGTTAAGGGACAAGAGAAGATTAGTCCAGGTTTTCCGACTATAGGGCTATTCCTTCCACTGTTCGGGAATTTCTGCTCATTTACAATCCTATTCCTGTTTCTCTGACGTCAGTGTAGATTTTAAAACCACTTATAAGACCTAATTACTGTACCTCCAAAGATTAATTTCACTTTTCAAATCTCTGGCTAAGTGTCATTAATTAAACTTATTGCCTAATGCGTAAAGCGAGAGAAAGCAATATTGAATAAGTTAGATCGTTCCTAAATGGAATACCAGAGCGCTATTTTTAGCAAAAATATGACAGTTCGTTTTCTTTTTGACATTTATGATATGGTTAACATCACTTCTTTGCTTGGAAATGATTCACTGGGGCTCTAAGGTTTGGATCAGATGAAATTCATGAACCCTGCAGCTTGATCGAGCAGATTTAAGTTAACGAGAATATTTTTACACCGTGGTAGTCAATATTGGCTTTTGATAGCTTAAGCTCAGAATTGAAAGAAAAGAGCTTTGTTCGTCATTTTGTGTAAGACACTTGTAATACTAGGCCGATCTTGTTAATAAACTGATATTCGCTCAATTCGGCAACAAATTGACGAATTTCTGGCTTATTTTTGGAGTCTTGATATTGCCTGTTAAATTAATCACATAAACGAGAAGACAAGCAACCTTTGTTTGAACAGTCACGAAGATTCTGTTTTCAGTTTGCTTGTGATTTTTTAGACGAGATGGGAGTAACTTGAAATTAGAAAAGCGAGCACATTTTTTCAGTTCTTTTCTCAGTTTTTTCCTTAACATTGGATTTAAACAGGGACTTAGCACCCTTAAGCGAGAGTCCAAAATAGACTTTTCTAATCCCGCATCTTGCCGCTATTTTTCATTCCATCCCGCCATTCTATCGCAATTGACATTATCATCCCGATTCCATAGGGTTAAACGCATTTTGCTCTATTTCAACGCCTTATTTAAATTGAGGAACAAACTATAGCCTTTACAATATTGATAATGTACTCTCCTGATTATGGAGAAAGGCAAAGACTTGCTTAAGGCTTATTTAACCGGCCTAAAAGAAAGTTGTTCCTCGGTTTGTTTATGGTCGTTATAGGTGAGACACAAAAACTCCACCCACGGAAGGATTACCAGAAAAGCTATCAAATTCCTCAGCCGAACAAACAACAATAAAAGTCATGTCTCAAAGATACAACAAACTTCACGTACTTCACAGAAAAAAAACGAAGCTTCCGAAAGAAGTGATACTCGTTTCAAAGGAAGTTACGAGCTTATGTGCAATTATACCAAACATATACCTAAAAAACTGCTCGTTTGGAAACCCTACTTCGACGACATAATTTCTCTTTAGCACACCAACAGAGATGTCGTCAAACAGTTCATTGAACCGAAGCTCAAGCAAATAAACACCAGCCAGCCATCATCAATCAACAATCTGTCTCAGAAGCTACTTTCATGGTAAGAGTTATCTATGATGATGAAAGATTTAACAGGTAGTCAGTTCTCAATGTAAGAACCCACTTCAAACGAACAGAGACATTTCAGTACACGTTCTACACGACGTGTCACCCACCTGGAGCAAAGGCTTCGCTAAAGGCGGAGCGTAACGACTCCTCAATGCTAATTCTTCAAAACAAAACAAAAAAATTCACAACACATCGAGCAGAGAGAGGAAGAGAGAGGCAAACCGAAGAACTTAATTAACCACACTCTCAGAAGTGAAATTTTAAGGACGTAAACGGGCCCTCCTCCATCAAAGAAAAACAATCGAATCATGCCCTTTGTAAAACAATACTATCCAACGGTTCCAAACCTAAAAAAAATCCTTTTGAGCAAGTGGCATTTACCACGGCAACGACCACTGCTAAGACAAACATTCAAAGAGCCGGTAATATCATAGAGAAAGGGGCGTTCAAGAAATACTCGTGAGAGCAAAATTATATCACACGATGGAGCTGTGTGGGTCTATGAACATTTGTAACATATACTGAGAAAACTGGACATATTACGGAGCCATTTAGACCAGTCAACCCCAATTTACACGGGAGCATTAATTGAGCCCGTTTGTAAAGCAAATAAATATTTTTTGATGTATCTGAGGTGGTGTGGCTCGTAACTTGAGCTAAATTGTGATCCCGCCTATACCCATCCTGTATCCCGCCTTCAAAACGGAGCATATCCAGGTCTCATCTTCCTATTTTCATCCCACATCTCGCCCTGAAAATTTCTCATTTCCTAAATCCCGCCTCGATTTTAACCCTCATCTCGCAACCCGCCAAACTTATGTTGGACCCTCCCAAGCCAAATAAGACAACGAAGGCTCTGAAAACGAGACTGACAATGTTTGTCAGCCAGGCAGGAAATTATTGAGCCATTCATTGAGGGTCAAGTTATTTCAATTTTCCCATAGCGGCCCAGATATTTACATTGCTTGTTCTACAATTTTTATTCATCAATTTTAATGGTACATCTGTCCAATAGCAAGCGATTACATTATTATCAGTTATGCGTTAATCAAACCCGAGACCCTCTGGAAACTTAAAGACATAATATGCAAAAAAAAAACCAAAAATTGGCCGAGTAAATTTCAAGTTAAGTAACGATGGGTACGGCTGTCTTGCTCCTTCGCACGATCAAGTCTCGTCGTTATGTTTTGTTTCTCAATGTCTTCCTATTTAATCCAGGTTTTCCCATAGAATCCACCGATACAGGAGTAATCCTTGCTCGTTATTAAGTCTCAGTGTTCAGAACCGCTTGAAATTGAGCCGGCATTTTCACCCATGTCTCCGCATTTCGCAGTGGAATACTAAAGTGCCCTTGTCATAATTATTTTGCTTGCTTAAGTATCTAAAGATGTTGGACTTGGATCAATTTGGACGCACGCCTTTGAAAAGTTTTCTTGCACCCCTCAGGCATTAGCTATTTAAAATGTAGCCACACGCTGGGAGAGGTTTACATGATTCCTGCGCGAGCCAGACCGGATGGAAACAATAAATATTAATAACTTGGCTTCCGTTACGTATCAGTGACTTTGTTCAAAGGAAATTGTGGTAAAAATAGCAAACAAACTCATCAGATCAAATTGAGGAATGAAATTCATTGTGATACGACTAAGATCAATTCAAACTAACACTTAAAAGATTTTCTCATTTCCAATTTTACCCTTAAGCAAAAACCCTTGGCATAATTACTGAGAGAGACATGAATCCTGGCGCCCATACAATCACTTTGGATCTACCGACATACTGCCCCCTCAGACCACATCTCGCACCATATTAAACACACACACCTATCCCTTGACTCTCCCTACCAAGCTCACACTTCACCAATGTTAGAGCATAGATGATGCAATTTATCAAAATATATGCCCTGTTCTAGGCGTTGATGGTAAAAAAAAAAAAAAAAAAAAAAAAAAAAAAAAAGAAGAATACTCGATAGTACCAGTAAGGCAACGCAAAAAAGATAAAAATTAGCACGTGGCACGAGAGGCCTCCACTCCGAATTGTAAATGATAAGAAAATGGGTGTAGCTTTGAAATTGGACCCACGCTTTCACTGTTACAAGGTAAAAGAACCGGAAACTAATAACAGGTTATTATTTAAAAACCCCTTATCACAGTAGTAGGTAAGGAGTTACCAGCACCTTTATAAAGAACATTATGAAAGTTGGTGGTTTTTCCCAGTTATACATCAATAGTCTTCTCTGCAGGTTCAAAGTAAACTCACTTTTATATCACTTACGATTACTGGGAAAGTCGCTTGTAGTGACAGGAGAGTGACCTTCTGAAAAATGAAGATTACCTATCTAAGTGAATCGAACCAGTTAAGGCAGGTGCATGGAAACTTAGAGTTTCAACGCCCACAACATCCACATAGTCTAGAGCCTTCTAAACGACTCGTGTGACTTCTTGAGTCTGAATGAGCCTTTTCAGGTTTAAATAAGACAGTCGGCGGAAGTGTTGGTACGTTTTACTTGAAAGATGCATCCCAAATCATACAGTTGACATTAGTTCCTATTCATCATAAGAGTATTGATTACATCGATTCCATCACTGAAAAAATTTTTTCCATGGCACCTGTTTGTGGTGAAGGAGGGTAAAAATTTGATACTGCTGCAGGAATGTAGGAGAATGTGGAAGTGGCTACTTTAAATTTTGTTGAAAGACGGGCAAAATGCTGTCTCAGCTCGTTTAAAAGCTGTCTCGGTCTCGTTTAAAGTGCACCCGTTACTCTCCGGTTGGGACGGTATAATTATTCGCCAATTACTGATTTAATTTAGTTTCATCGTCCAACATTCGTCTATCTTCGTAAGAATAACATCTATTAGAGGCGATCCCATGAAAGACTAATGTATTGCAGAAATCTTCCTAGCAATACAACAAGTCGAGAAAAAGAATTTTGGTTTCCCATAACGCCTCCTTCATCCATGAATAAAATACATCAACAATCTTTAGACATCAAAATAATGAAATCCTAATTGTCTGTGTACCTGTCATAGATCATCAAAGGGCCATCAGGTAAACAACCTGCTATACGCATAGCGGCTGTGACACCAAGACCCAATCGTCAAACGAAATTAGCCCAGAAAACGATTGAAGAATTTCGACACCCTTCCAGAGTAAGTCAATCTTCTTCTTTCAGCCACGAGTCTTCTCGTGGCTGAAAGAAGAAGACCTTCCTCTAGATAAGAAGGTCAGAAGTAACTTCAGCTACGGGTACACGTGGTGTTTTAATTATCATGCAGTTTTGCCCCTTACATGTATTTTGGCTTGGAAAAGTGCCTTTTTTGGACATCTCAAAGCCTTTGGAGGCTCTGGCATCCTGATTCCTTACATCTGTCGACAACTAACCCTTACCATTAAGTAGAAAACCAGGGGTCTAACGGTTGGCCCCAATGCAAAATGTTCACCTGATTTTAGGTTTTCTTGCTATTTTTCCTTCTTTCCTTATGATTGTTCACTGTCGCGTGGATCGCTTTGTTCCTTGAGTTAATTGTCTAGCGTGTTCTGACTGTTTCATCAGTTAAAGTATCTATTGAACCCGTGCTTTACTGGGAAACAACCCTCTAGCACATAAGTAAACTTACCAGCAATATCAATTAGCCATCATTCTATGTCTGTATGACCAATATTTCTGAAAAGCAATGCAAAGCATCGTAGTTAAGACCACGTACTATTCTTCATGAACTTGCAGCTGAGAAAAATATCAGTTTCCAAAGAGGATTTGACTCTACAACAGTCTCTTTTCCTTGTAAGGTGCCCTGCCAACTGACTCCTAGAACTCTTGCTCAAGAGCTGACCATTCCACTAAGTTAAAATGTGACAACATGAATTCCTTTGAGCTACTGGCAGGGACCGCGCAGAGTAACAAACCCATTTCAAAAGTAACGTCTATATCTTTTCACCGAATTGAATCAGAACAATTTACATATCCTTTTCTAGTCTTTTCCATTTTTTTAACCCCTTGCAAAACCGCATGGCCTAATTGCATTTTAATGTAATAGCCATCGTGGCGCCAGTATAACCTTTCACCGCGCACATATGATACTCGAGGAGGGATTGTTTCTTTCCCTACCAATTTTATTTTTTTAACCCCTTGATTAAGACTGCATGGTGATCCTTACCATTGATTATTTTAGAAGCACTCACTGCTAAAGGATCTAGTGACGAACGCTCTGCCGTTGGATTGAACCTCAAGTTTGACCCGCTAAACAATAAACTGCCTCCTGTATTGTGTTCGCCACTTTTTTTGCAACAAATATGTTTATTGTGACATTTCAACTGTGTTAGTTTAGTGTTTTTAGCTTGGTTTATAACTCACGGTCAAACTTTCGGATACAAACGCACCCCTTTCAAAATAACAAAAATGAACGGAGGGCTGTCTTTACCTAGTCACTGCTAATGTATATTTATTTAAACAGAATATCGTAATTACTAATATTAAAAGTCACGCTTTGTTGTATGCTTCACTGACGTTGAGTGTTGTTCTACAATCCATGGTCCACCGCCTGGCAACGTCCTCTTGCACATCGCGAAATTGAGGAGTAGAATCTTTTTTTCCCTTAGCTTCTAACCTGGGAGCTCGCTTACAAGCTATTGGATCTACCGCAAACACCAAGACAGTAAGGGCTCGAAATCTTTTCCACCCATTCCACATCTACCCGCTTCCAACTTCCGACCCTCGTGGACCGTCTTATATTTCACAATTCGATTAAAATTACACACACGAAACCATTGTTTGTGTTACGTTTGTGGTTTAGGGGTGTTTAATCATTGTTATTTCTGAATTTAGCAGAACACCCACAAATGGCATCAGTTTGTAAACAGCCAAGTATAATAAACGCTTGTTATCTCTCTAAATCAGAGAGTATTCGAGCTCATAGGATTCTAAACTTCCTATTCATTCCAAACTCTGAATTCATTCACTTACGTTTTCCTTGGATTTAGACCATGTATTTCTCTGAAACTAACGATGGATTATTTGACAAGCGCGTGATGTCACTGTAAACGATCGACTGGACCGAGAAAGATTATAGATAAGATTATATTCACCGTTTAAGTCATTTTTTTTTTGTTAATAGCAGTACTCCACCACATGATGTACTGTAAGATGAATGCCCACTTACGCCGTTTGTGGCCGCAATTAGTTTTACATATCAATAACACGCCTGAAAGACAATTGCTATTTTTATTACCTCGCACACATATTTTCAGTTGTGTTTTTGCCTTCTTGTTTGCAACAAGAAGGCATTTTGTAAAAAAAGTATTGCTCTCAGTTAGCGAGACGTTGAAGTGCAAGATGATATGAAGTCCTTCCACACTTATGATCCTATCTTCAGAGCCACTTGGTAGATCTTGCAATATCGTATAAGTTCAACCATATTATATCGAAAAAGCATGCTATGCTCTGTATGTATCATTTTCTACAATTAGTTTCACAGTTGCAAACTATGTTCCTATAGAGGACACGTTTAATATAGTGGTCTTTGTTTGAGCGCCTGCCCTCTCTTAAACCATCAACGCATCTGTTCAATAGAGCGTTTTGAAACTATTGGAATTTAAAACAAGAAAAAACTTGCGAAACATCCTGTTATCCAAGCGCGTGCAGCAAGGATTTGGGAAAACACTAACTGATGGGGACTGTTTCCAAGGCTATAATATTTGGAATATTTCTTCGAGATAATAGAAAATAATCAGATCTGTGTGACTTATCGTCTGTATCATATTTTGATAATCTTTCAATGCTTTTTTATGGGTCATTTATTTGGTGATCAAAATGATTTGCAGTCTTGGACTCGTTGGCTAAAACATTAACAGAGCCAAAAACTTCATCTGTAATGTTTCTACACGTCAACTTTAAAAAGAAAAAAATGAAAATTTTTTTCACACCATTTATCAATTAATTTTTTGGCACTATAGTTTCCGTACGGAACAAACTGATATCACTTAAAGACGGCAAAGGTGGACACGCATCAATAGGAACGAGCTATTACTTTCATGGTTGTTTAAGATGCCATCAAATGACAAAGATAACACCAGTAGTCTCCATTTTCTTCGTGAAATTTGCCAAAAATTCGTCGCTGGTTGTTGCTTAGAGAAAAATAAAAAGTTAGAAAAAAAAGGGGGTTGCCGAGGGACCCTCGCACAGCTGGCGTTCAAAAAGAGTGTGGAGAATGTATTCAGGATTTTCGCGATAGACGCAAAGCTTGGGTAATTTCAATTCGTACCCTTAACAGATTGAGAGCGAGTGGCTATTTCTTCTCCTCTTGGGCAGAATCATGAAACTGGGGGCTGCAAAAAAGTTGAATAGTTATTCGCAACAAATATTCAATCAATTGTTTTTGGTAAATTTTGCGGAAGAAATTTCGGGAACAATGGTATACAAAATTAATGCAATGGTTATTTGTTTCCGGTAACAAGCAGATATGGAAGTACATGTTTTATTCAACATCCTTTATTGTTTTTCTGGGATTGAGTCCTTCCCACAAAGTTTATGTGACTAACGACTATATTGATTAAACGTGCGATAACACAACAAAAGAGGCGTGTTTAACAAGCCATAAAATACAACGCGGAGTTAGTTACCTTTTGGCATTGCTGGCAAATCGAGCTGATCAGTTGTAAGCTACCAGTAAGAAGACAGATAGAGGACAAGGAAAACAAGATGAAAAGAGCAGAACAAGGGATTCAGAAGGAAGGTTTTCGCAAATCCGTACCTGGTGTCTCCAAAGACGAAGAGAAAGCCTTGATTCAAACGCAACAAAAGAAGCAGAAGCGAAAGAGAAATTCGTGCCCTTTGTCTTACATAGAGGTCATCTCGTATGCCATTCTAAGCTCACCGAGAAAAAGGGTTACGTTATCCGATATATACAGCTTCATCCAAAACAACTACCCTGAATTCACTGAGAACAGAGTGCGCTGGAAAAACACAGTCCGCCACAATCTTTCCATCCACGAGTGTTTTCAGCGAGGAGAAATGGCCTTGGACAAGAGTGGATGCTACTGGCGGATTCATCCCAGATTCTTTGCCCACTTTTCCCGGGGAGATTTTTCACGACATAAGGAGCCACAAAATCTACCTTGCGCTTGGGATGGTGGATACAGTCTTGTTGAAAACCCTGCATTCTCTGCTCCTTGTCCCGTGTTTCCCTACCGCATGTGTGAGCCGCCCTCGCCTTACCATCCACATGTTGGAGTACAACAGTATCACAACCGAGGCATACATGCTTATGGGCAACATCCATACTTTACGTGGAACCACTTTATGTACTAATATTTAACCAAAGCGATGATCATGCTGGATCCACGCAAAGGCAAAGGCAAGGAACACATTCACATAGCAAAAGGGTAATATACATTTAAAACAAAGACGCAGCGTTCTTTCTTGGACAAAGAACATAAGCCTAACGATAAGGCTATTCTATAATGGCGTTCAATTTTATGTAAAAGCAAATTACTTTCGAGTCAAATAAATATTCCTAAACCAGGAAGTTAAAACAACAGCCGCAATGTTCTTATAAGTAGGAGATGAAAGAATTCTCGATTCTAGTCATCAGGAAGAGACGAGAGTTTTAGTCTAAAATCGCCGATGAACAATAAGAACCTTTACGGGTAGACAAGGGCAAACTTAAGATATGACGTATTCCCATTTATCTAGGACGCAACACATTTGAGGTTATCCTTAAGATTTTGAGTGTAAATGCATATTAGTCGATCCTGAATATCTAGAGAGGTGAGAAACCACGAAGGGTTCCTATACTATTTAAAATGCATTACCTCTTTACAAAAAACCTTCTGAGTGAGTCATAAAATTTTCAATGCAATTCATGTTTTCAAGAAATTACCACAAGTTATACTTCACAAAATCAAGACCTTGACCGATTGATAAGTTATCATTATTAGGGAAAGGATAAGAGGTTACCCCAAGTATTCTCTTCGACGAAGCCAAGAGAGTGGCAAGTTTGTGTCTTCTGTAAATCGAAGACATGTTTACAAGCCAAAAACTCTGTAAGTTGCAAGGGTAGTTTTCTCCTTTATGAAAGCTAAGAAGAGAAAATCCTTGCTCTCCGCGAAACAATTCGCAATTGAAATCTAAGCTAAGGGATAAAATACCATGTAACCGGCATAATTTTTTATTCTTAGAACAGGCAGTCGCATTAGCTCTTAAAAAAAATTGTCACAACGCCAGAGGACGAAAGGGAGTAAATTTTGGGGAAATTTCACTGCACCCTTAGTTTTGTTTTTTATTGCTGTGTAAATTAATTTTATCGTCAAATGATTGCTAGTTGATAACGTTTCCGTTATTCCAGTACTAAGGCAAAATTTTCTTAAAATTTAACAGGTATAATCACATATCTTCCTCAAGGGTACAACCGTATTTTAAATACTTAAATTAGTCAAGGGAAACGTCACGGCTGGGTGGGTCCTTCAATAATTGTCAGCACGTGCATAGCCGGGTGGCTATTTGGTTGATAGTTGGTGATTCTGAAAATCGCATTGTCGAGTCTTTTAGCTAGTGCCATTAAAATGTTTTGGGGGTGACTTCGGGAGCAGCTGCATACGCTAAAACACTGTTCTTCTCTTTCCTTGATTATACTCTTTAGTTTTCCACACTCCTATCATAGTGATGAACAGTGTACACTACGATGCAAATGGACGAGGTAGCCGATTTAAAGTGCATTTTACTGACAGATTTTTCTCCTTATTAGATATAATCTTAAATAAAATTTAGAGTTCTCGAAAATCTAGCAAGAGTCTTATTTTCATTTGGAGGCTTGAAAAGAATGCAGAGCTAGATATATTTAGGAAGAAGGGAAGGTGAACCCTTTCGACCCAAGCAAAACGTCGGATGATCGATATCCAGTCGCATTGGTACTTACATGAGCGCCTTGGCCGTAGGTCAATGTTAATGCATGTACATTTCTGTAGGTTAGAGTTTCATCAGATATTTTACTGAAGTGGTGTTACCTTGATTAATTGACTGTTTCGGATGATAAAAAGGCTAAAAGTTTTTTTGATGTCTTCAGACAGAAACCTCGGCATTGGTATAATGCAATCAACCTTAGTATCTTAAATGAAACAAAAGTTCTAAGCAGTGCGAAAAGTGGAAACCAACACCAGCAAATCTTCCAGGGCGGCTTTTCAGAGTGGTATCTACTCCCCTCTCTTAAAGACTATGAACGACTTCATCGTTTCCATACTGAGCGACGAACATCACAATGGTGTCGAACCACGATTGTCTTTGGACTTGATTCTACGAGAACGTGACAGTATGTTTTTCGATGATGACGCAACTACCGCCCAGTATAGCTGAGTGCAGTGCATTTGCTCCGAGCAAGGTGTTAATGGATAGATCGGCTTCCTCCTTTAGAGGATAGTGGACAGCTTCACTCTTATTAAATAGGGCTGCAACTGCCAACGGTATCTCACCATATAAACCAATTTTTGAATTGATATCAAGATCATGCCATTTGAGAGCATGGTTTCGATGATGGGGCCATAACCGCCGCGCATAGCTATGTGTAGAGAATTTCTTCCATGACTGTCTGTCACAGGAGTTTCTCTAAGAGATGTAGGTGACGGTTGCACTCCTGCAAAATCGGGCAGCAATTGTTAAAAGCGTGCTTCCTTCATCATCTCTTGAATATATCTCTAAACCATATGAAAGCAAAGTCTGCAACATTGCCTGCCTGTAACGCTGCATGCAGCGAATTTCTTCCCAACCAGCCTCTCTTAGAGGTTTCTGGTCTATTGTGTGGCACGTAATCCACAGCTTTACTTCTGCCACATGCACCAGCAAACGTCAAACTAGTGTTGCCATTGATGTCTCGGCCACGTGACAGAATCACTTCAATGATGGTGATATCACCAGTCTTCGCAGTTAAGTGTAATGGATTCCATAAGTCATATTTTTCTCTGAAGTAAGTAATTGTTAAACGATAAAAATAGAACTATATTTAATCTGAAATATTGTAAGGGTTTCCTTATATTGGTGTTGGGAAAAAGAATGGAAATATTATATATTACTTTCAGCCATTCGATACAAAAATTATAATAAGACAGGTTGACTATTTCTTATTCCTTTTGGCGATCTCATCTAAGTACAATTTCTTTCACCTTTTTCTTATTGCGGTTGTGAATTTGGTACGGAAACAGTTGCTCCGTTTCTACGGTGATTAGATCTTGTTGTACTATTTTGTGATAAGCTATGTTTTTAATTATGTCAATTTTCTAGTTATAAATCTCTCTGGTAAAAGTTAACCTCGCACAGGAATTCCTGGAAATTCCTGCTTCTTATACTATTGATTCCTTTCAGACGGGTTTTTATGGTCAAATTCTAAGTCAAATTAACGATTCCAGAATATTTCTTAAATTTTAAGTTAACACCTTCAACAACTCTTCTTAAAAAGGTGTATCTGATTGTAAATAGCTTATGCTTTTTCATCTCCGCACTGAATTTGTAATTATATAACTTATGCGAATAACACGTAGTTTTCTTAGGGGCGGTACCTCCGAATTTTCTGTTTACTCTGTTGTTGTATAACAATCATCTAGGGCTATTTTCTCGTAAAAGCGTAATTTCAATTCTGCCGATAGGTTAATTATAATTTTTGTATTATCAATCTTGTCTTCGTTCTGGCCGACCTTAACCGTAAAACTAAGAAATTTAAGGTAGAAGATGATTTTGTGATTGCGTAAACAATTCGAAGGTGTATACTTAGTATGCAGGAACTGTCGTACGTACTCTAAGGTGATTCGCTGGCTGAAACGGAGCGATCGTGATGTAAGAAGTTTGACAGCTTAGAGGTGTCATCTTTGGTGTCACCTTTATAAGCTGGTGCACAGCATCTTTCAATCAGAGAATATAGCAAAGCAGAACAGTGTGGACTTATGTCGAAAGAAATAAGTTGAACTGTGGTGAATAAGGTCAATACTGGGCTAGTTCCCGAGAGTAATAATTGTACCAGGAGCTCAACCAGAAAATAAAGAAAATTCAACCGAGTGTTAGAGAATAATTCTTCTAACATAATAACAAAAACCTATTGACTGATGTTATCCACACTAAAACTACATTGTCAAACCTGTAAAAACCGACTTCCTAATTTGTTTTAAATCGAAACCCCTTTAGAGCGTCTTTTCTATTAAAGGGACGTAGACTTCCCTTCAGGACCACCAAAATGGCAAACTATATCAGGATTCCTCCCTATCACAAGTTGAGTCAAAATCAAATAAAATCATGACTGTCTGGGATCTAAATAATTTTTCATTGGTGGCAGAGCATTCTCATCGGCGTCGGTGATTTTCTTCGTAAAACTATACCAGAAAAATCTTAGCCTTTTATAGCTGATGTTTTATCTCAAGTCAAAGGATCACAGATAATAAAACGAAAGCCTGCTGAATAGGGGTGAAATTTTAAATATTTCCCGTTACTATCGTCACCAAAATATGATATAAATAAATTTGTTTGATCAAGTTTTGATGATCTCTTTTTGCTTCTTAGCAAGAAACTTGCGCTAACCATTCCAATAGCCTTTAAGTCACTTACTATGTACAAAAGACCTTCATTTCAATTATTGAACGTGCAAAAAGAAAACATTCAAAGCTCCACTTTATGGTTTGATTAAGTCTGCAAGGGTGTGCCCATCTTTACCATACGTGTCTTATGCTAACTCATTTATAAGTTGACCTATGGACCTTTTGACTGAGCGATGTGCACGTTTACATTTAATGCGATTTCTTTAGCGATCCCCAGACGATGATGATAATTCGTAACGCCAGCTTGCATGCATGAAATATATAGTATTAAGCTCGAGAGCGGCCGTAGGGAAATGAAAGCAGAAAAAGGTGCAAACGATTTAAGCAACGATGAAATTTGATTTTAATATACTGACCACCTGTATCCACTCTATATTTGGATGGTGTTCCTTGTGTTTCCTCTTCGCTATCACTGGTATCAGTTATTAAACTCCATTTCTCCAGCTCTATGTCTCCAGCTCTGTGTCTCCAGCTCTGCACGGTCAACATACGCCTTAATGTACCCCACCTATCTTCCCTTTAAAGCTTGATTCCAAGACACTCGTAATTGGCACATTGAGCTAAAAAACATGAAAAAACTAATATGTTAGTCCTTAGAGGTTTATTTACACGTACTTTGAGACTATCATGAATTTACCTCGCTTATCTGGTATTTCATCCATAGGGCTTCTTGTCACCCAAAACCTATCTGGAGGTCTTGAAACGCTCTCTAGAATTTCCACCCTTTCTTCCAGAAGC